TGCGAATGCACCTTTCGGCGAAATCAGTGCAGGCGGTATGGTTACTCAAATCGCAAATCACTTTGGCCACGGTGCTCTCCTGAGAGAGGAACCCACTGTTGCAGGTAAGACAAAGATAGATCTAGCCACCCTAACTGCCCAAGGTATGATTCGAGTCTTTGATAATTACTACTCTTTGGTAAGCCGAAACAGTCATCTCCTCGCTTTACCTGCCCCTGACTTTATTAGTATTCAAAATGTGAATAACTGGCTATATGAGAGCCCAATGCAGGATGAAGAAGACCAATTTTATGATGGTACAGGTACAAAATTCTTTGAGGATGAAGGAGATCAGGTAGAAGAAGCGCCTATACCACCTACTCGAGTCTCACCCCATCAGGAGTCCGGCTCCGGCTCTTGGAGCTTATCTAAAAAAGAATGGGATTGGATGTAGAGTGAGATGTGTCATCTCCGAAGTGAGCAGACAAGGAAAGGCGATGAGCAGACAAGACAAGGAAACGAACAAATCCGACAAGGCAGGTTGATCGGTGAAATGCACGAATGGATGCGGCAGATGATGCTGCGCGACCAACCTCCGCAACCATGAACTCTATGAGTCCTCTGCTACTGGTGTTCCAACAGTGAGGACACTGTTGAATCCTAGTGTGGGGGTATTTTATTTGTGTTTTTATGTTATTTGTTTATGTTATTTGTGTGTTTTCGTTTCTGTTTTAGTTATTTGGTTATTTAATTTTCAGTGTTAGTTTTTAAGTGTTAGTTTGAAAGCATGATAGCAATTCCACAGGAAAACCCCCTGACATTGAGCTCATAAAATTAATAACATTGTTGGTTTGGGGAACTGTTTGGTGAAGATGTCGGTGAGTGAGGTGATGAGAAAGTATATAGAATACTCAGAAAAGAACTGTGAGGATGAAATCGGAACAATCTTGAGAGATAGGTAAAAGGCAAACACCCTGGGTTTCCCGAGTAGGAACGAGTTCGACGTGTAGATTTGTACCATAGTGCTTTGATCTGAGAAGTACCCCTGAGTAGTTTATTTTGACAATTAGGTTTCATCAATAAGAATCGTGTGTGCAAGGTTAACGAAAAATATTGAGCTAAGGCACAGAGAAAGAAAAAAAAAACAAACAAAAAGGGGCAATTAGGCGACTAATCCTTCTAAGTTGGGTAACCCTCACCCGGTTATTCAGCCCAACGGCGGTCGAACCTGAAAGCCATTCGAAAATAATAACAGTGCCAGAAAAAGAAAAATGTCGTTGATGAATCTTGTGCACACGAGGAAAATCATAAAAGCCGTTATAGTGATTGTCTGAATGAAAGGGAGGAAAATCGAAAAAGAAGACTTAAGTACAAAGCATAGTCGGAGAGGTTACCCATAGGGAGACTGAGGTCTGTGGTTTACCACAGTCTAGTGTTTGCATGTTACCTGTTTTGAGGGAACAACCGAGATTAATCCTAGTGGGACTTGGAATGAGAAAGTCAAGTATGAGTATCATCACCGTAACTCACATTTCTATGGACGGTTCCGTTATGAAAAAGATATTAAGTTCGGTTTGGCGAGCTTTTTGCTTGAGGACAAGAAAAAGTTCAAGTTCGGGGGAGTTTGATCGGTGGATTTCACTTGTGTTTTCAAACGCTGTTTGTTGTTAATTTCGCACCGTTTTTATCTGTTTTCGAAGCTTTAGTTGTTATTATCTGAATTACTCGTAGTTGTTTGCCTTCAAGTCTTATTTTGAAGTTTGTATTACTTTTGCCACTGGTGCGTTTGATTCGGTTTCTTTTAGTGTGTTTTTGGCAGGAATGGATAGCATGACAGTCGCACCGCTTTCGGAGGAAAAGAAAAGTCGGAAAATGGAAAACAGAGCCACAACACGGGTACCCGTGTTGCACAACACGGCCCGTGTCATGGAGGACACGGTTGGCAGACACGGGTAGGAGAAGCAAGGAAAATGGGAAATAGACGTACAACACGGGTGCCCGTGTCATGCAACACGACCCGTGTTGCAGCCCTTGTAGAAGAAAACGTGTCTGAAGGAGTCAGCAGCATGACACGGCCACCCGTGTTGCACAACACGGCCCGTGTCATGGCCACTGAGAGTGAAAATGTTATTTTTCTGATTTTTATGCTGTCAGACCTATTTCGAAGGGCGTTTGAGACATTTCGCGATGTAATTTGAATTTAGATATAAGAGCAACTTTTTAGAAAGTAGGAGAGACTTTTGAATTGATATTAGGATTGACAACTGAGGAGAGAGTTTTTCTGGAGAACAAAGGATCGATCAAAAGCGGAAGCAATTGATGATCCAAGGGATCCAACTCGAATTGTAATGATCTTCTCCTTTTCATTTCTAATTGCATTTATGTTTATGAAGAACATGAGCAGCTAAACCCCCAGTTGTTAGGGGGTGGTCCTAAGTTGCGATGTAATGACCTTTGTTTGATTATTCTATGATACTTATGTTATTCACTTTATATATATATATATATATATATATATATATATATATATATATATATATATATATATATATATATATATATATATATATATATATATATATATATATATATATATATATATATATATATATATATTTATTTTGCAACAATCTTAATGCGTATTCATATTGGAAAGTAGAAATCGAATTATGCTTAGGTTTTAGGCTGGAAAGTCAACCTAACACTTTTGCAAAATAGTCTCACGGTCGATATTGCTTAGGAATGAGGATATCCCGTATCACGTATTGTATGGTCGGAACGATTGCTTGAGGCTTTTCATGGACACTGAGGAATTAGTGTACATGAAACTCATCAAAGGGTTTTTATTAAGGAATTAAGGAAAACTAAATTGGCCAACTGATGAATTAAGGTTAATAACTATAATCGCAGAAAAATCCTACATGGTCTTTACTCGCATCGTGTCCACTCCCCTAACACGGCTCTTAGATTGATTTATAAGTCTTTATTTACTTGTTGTATTACTCTGCTACCAAACAAACCCCTAGACCTTTTGTTTCTTTGAATACTAAAAATCCCGTTAATTACTACGCAGTCCTCGAGATCGATACTTGGGACTTTTCCCTTATTACTACAATCGGTAAAAATAGTACACTTGTTATTTTCCCGATCAGAATGTTTTTCCTGTTCCTCCTGGACCATCAACAAAAAATACCCCATTGTGGTTTTGATCAATTACATTCATAATGGTTTTAAACGCAATCACTTGGTCATTATTTAACTTAGCAACAGATTCAATATCTTCATTAGGGATATCGGTCGCTAACTCCTCCTGTATGACACTTGGAATTGAATCTCCTTGTATTGTATCAAGGGGTAAAGATGGGAGATCATAATCTTCAATCTTTTTACCGTGCAGGTTTAAGAGTTCATTCAAGTCCTTCTACAACATATTAGTAAAGACTGATTCCACAATATTGTTTGTTGTTTGATAATCCTCTGTCATATGTGTAAAAAAACTCATTCCAAAGGCTTCTAACATCAGTAGGTTCACAAAATATGAGAATCGTCATGAATAACTTCCTTAAAGCATATGGCATTCAGAGACTCGCTGCTTCAACCAAACAATCATGAATACTATGATCAGTCTCTAGAAATTCTCTATCCTCGACTGGTTTTTTGAATATACTGAAAGGAGTGCCATTATTTGTAAGAAGATATTCTCAACTGGTTGGACCTCTAACATGAGATAACAATACTCACAAGTAAAACTTCTCTCCCTCCGAAGGTGATGTTGTATAGATTCTCCCAATAACGTTTCTTAGTGACCGCCTGCAATGCCATTCCTTGTCCCTATTATTCCAAAAATAAAGCTCTGGAATCTCTCTATACAGATAATTTCTTGCTTATGGATCTCTTATATTTAAAGCAAAGAATTGTGTGAGGATTGTTTTGGAATTGCGTTCATTATTTAACAAATCCATAATTCGCTGATGATCATAAAAGCGCACTTGATGGAGGTTCTGCAAGTGGATATGTAATCTTTCAACAGAAGGATATAATCGGTAAAGAGTGAAGCGAAATATTTTCCATAATGCCTCAAGAGCACAAATCCATCTTGCATCAACATATTGTTGAACTTCATCCATGTATGATCCTTTGTGAACCTCCATAGCCACACGATCAGGGCCCTTGTACACATATTTGTATTGATACTTGATACTTTTAATGCTACTGCAAATCTCTACATTGATGTGGCAGTCGTACTTTAACAGTAACCAAGGGTTATAAGGAACCACCCATCTATTATCGACATACCTGCCTCTACCTAACGATATAGGTTCATCAAACCTTCTCCTGTACTCAGGATATGAGTCAGTGTCTTGACGTGTTTCATCCAAGAATTGTTTTGGATATCTTTTTTTTACAATGTCCGTCTTTCATACATGAGGACTTCTGGTTGATAACGCCACAAGGTCCGTTGATCATATGTTTTAGAACCGCTTCATGCAACTGTGGTTCACATTCTAACTTAGGTATTTATGCTCTTACCATACTATCATACTCTTTTGGGCCATGCAATTTGTTGTTACTTTCTAATACCAACAACACATGCATATGCGGCAATCCTCGTTTTTGAAATTCAGTGACATACATGTAACTTTTAACCTTTCCTAAGACTCCTTTATTAATAACGTCATCCTTTAATTGCTCGAATTTCGAACGAAATATTCTTGTTAGCAAATCTGGACGATCTTGTGGTGTTTGAAAAGGCAAAAGTTTTGATGTTATCTCACTCCAAGAAGGATTCCATGTCATTATCAGAAAAACATCTGGTTTATCGCCATGAAGAACAATAGCCATGCCATCTTCATAGCGTTGTGTCATGTCTCGACGACCTCCAATAAATGATGATGGCAATATTGTTCTTTTTCCAATGTTTTCTATGGTGATTCATGAAATGTATTAGTTTTAGAATACATGAAAGATTATCATTATAAGTACAACTAATTAGTAATCTAAAAATATATATTTATGCTATATTATTTAGTATCAGCATTAGTTTCACCAATATGCAAAGCATCCTGTAAACCTTGGTACACTTCAACATGTATATCACGTTGGTGCTCTCTAATCAACCTTAACCTCCCTGATTCAATTTTGACATAATTTTCTACAATATATTGTTGCAATAGTCGACCCGCATTTAACAATATTGATTGATCATTTTGGAGAATCTACAATTGATTGAAAAACATGTCGACGTTAAAAGTGATGTGTTTTAAACTACACTTATCTAAGTATACTATTTATTAAAATTAATCTAAATTTACCTGAAGCATGTAACTGTAATATGCTCGACATGACAATCTTCGTCCATTACAATTTATTGTGTTAACGTCCCAACCATGTGTCCCAAATGGAAACAATATAGGATACTGCAAGGGATCATAATATCCCTTTGTCTCTTGAACTTTCTTTAGATTTCCATCATGACGAATGACATTAATATCCCTTCCATATTCCATAGAATCTGAATCTCCTCCAACAATAATTGTCGCAACTTGTTCTGCAGTTGGAAGATTATATTGATGGTGATTACTTGGACGCTCTTTAAGTATGAAGCTACATTCACCAATATTTGGAAGTTGTGACAGTTGTCTGAACCTAATTACAAATGGATTAAACTGATGGAGCAT